AATGCTCACATCCTTTAATTATGTTTGAAATTATGAACATTGCTCAACATCATGAAATTAAACCTTATTTCAATAAGCAATCCTGAAAAATATTTGGGGGTGCTTAACTTTTTTCCAGGTGCATATATGTCTTCATCTCACAACGAATAAAATCATGGACAGCCTCAACTGAGAGCGGAATAGAGGAGGGCCGATTTGCCTCCATGCTGAAAACAGCAACCTGTGAATTCATGGCTGAAAATGGTGCATCACAATATTTTTTTAAATAATAATTATTAAATACATTTTATACAAAAAGCCACTAGGCGATGCAAAAATTGCAATAAAATACATTAATAATTGCAGCACTTGTGTAGAGAAACCCGTGTCTAAAGGCTTTGGCAAGAAAAAGTGATACAATTATCTGAATGAAGTGCTTGTATACAGTACCAGGATAGAGGGCACATTGACGTAGGTGAAGAGTATATAGCCAAAGGCATTTCAATGGGGTATAAAACTCTGGAGCAAGTGAGAAAAAATCAGACCAATGCTCAGATGGGCAAAGATTGAAACCTTGGCAGTTGAGTAATAGCTATAAGTGCCAGTGGAGGTAAGTGTGTTTTGGAATTTGCCACTCTCAAATTACCAAATGGTTTTTATATTGTCCATATCAAGTATGTTTATGATTTTGAATGTTACAACACTCAGTGTAAAGAGCTGACCACAATAATTAAGTGAAGTAACTTATATTCTATATAAAATACATACAGGACTCCAGCAGTAATTAACAGTGGGATTAATTGCAAAAATAGCAACATACAGGAAACGTTCCAACTTATCTGGCTGACTATAGGTAATTTAACTACCATGTACTAAAATCCAGAAATAGTAATGCCCAAAACAAGTACATCCAGTTTGACAAAAATGTTAATGCCATAACAAGATTGTTACATCAACAAATTATCTAATAAAAAGGAGTATCTTATTGTCTCATGAATATTTTATCTGATATTCAATTAACTTTAAAATTGGATATTTTCCAATACAGCAGCCAATATTTCTTGTGTGTTGTATCTAAGCATTTTCAAAATTAGTTATTCTATTTTATACTAAAATTAACTTAATGTTTTCATAACAGTAATCTACTTTATACTAAAATTAACTTAATGTTTTCATAACAGTAATCTACTTTATACTAAAATTAACTTAAAGTTTTCATAACCATAACTAAAGAAAGAACTAAATGTATTATACTCACTGAGCCATCCAAAGGTTGGTGTTAATATTAAATGTTTTAATCAAGCCACTGAAGGTAGAGGCTTTCTCATAATCCCAAATTCTAACATTGCAGCAGCCATCCCAAAGGTCGTTGCCATTCTTGTCTTGCCCATTGTATGTCAGCCCAGTCATAGTACAGCTGCCTTCCTGGAAGAAAGAAGAGATAAATGTTTGGGAGTAAATATAATAAATATGGTTGCAAAAGAAGTATAAACAAGAACAAGTAAATAACAACAATACCAGTATTTTCCTTTAATACAAATCACTACAGTGCATGATCTGTATACAATTTATCATGCAATAATGAAATGTAATAGATAAATATTATGAAATAGAGCCAAGTTAAATTGGTTGAGCTGTTCTAAAAAACATAACTTTTCTTATAGTACTGTATAATACCCAATAGAACATTGAACACATTTCTTATAGAACATGTACTATGTCGAATATTATGATATATAACACATATCTCAATGTATAGAGGTGCTGCTAACACAATATGTTCAAGAATTAATATATTGGTACATTTTATTTGGAGAACTTGTATAACACATAATATCATCATATTTCTCTCTCACTAAATATACAATACACAATATTCTGCTATATACACATAACTCTAAGAAGACAAAGTCTCTGAAACTAAGACCTTTTGTTTTTCTTTTTTCCCTTATTTTTTATTCATTTCTTTAGTTTTTCTTCATTTTCTAAGATTTTGATATACCATATTTTCCCCAATATAATGTGCACTTTTTTTCTTCCAAAAAAAAATTGGCTGTGCATTATATTCGCATATGTTCAATTTTGTTAGGTATTTTACTAGACGCTACCACTGAACATCATTAAAGCATTATTTAAGAAATGTTGCATATCTAATACAATGGATGATGACATGCTGTGGTAATCAAAAGAGGATGAAGCAAAGGTTCAATGAAGCAAATCCTATGGTAGCGACAATTCTAGCAATGATGATTTATGTGAAGATGAATTATTAACTTAGTTAATTACAACAAATAAACTTTTCAATAAATTTTCTAAAATTGACTCGTGAAAAAATTTCAATGGAAGATTTCCATAAATGTTTAAGACATCAATAGTTTTTTACTGTACTTAAGAACAATTCAATACATTTTGTACAACTGATGTGTACAAAAACAAATTTTCTTCAAATTAACCTTTTAAAATTGGGTGCACATTATATTTAGGCAAATTCAATATATTCATGAGTCAAAACATTTATTTGGTCAGATTATATTTTTCTTTTTGTTTATCTGTTCCAGATAGATTACGTTTCTGATTTTAGTTTATTGTATTGTTTTCACCCACTATAAGTCCTTTGATAGTTTTCAATTTTGTTTGGTAGGAAGTTTTATTATTTTTTGATTAAGGTACTGAAGGTCTTTAATTTTTTTTAAATATCATAATTACACAGAGATCAAATACTCAGGTTTTAATGTTTTATAGAACTATATGATACAGAAGTGAACTGTGTAACATTATTTTTTTAAGAGTAAAATTTTAGTTTGCAAGAAAATATGCATGTAAAATAAAAATAAAACTTGTTTATGTAAAAAAAGGAATTCACAGGTATACTTAAACATGGACAAACAATCAAATACTTGTACTTTGAGAGATTTAATTAATGCAAGTATACTTTTTAGGGAAAAAAACGTGTAAGGGCATAATACATTCAAAATTGTAATTAACAATAACATTTTTTTTCCAACTCTCTTTCTAGGGCTTCATCTCTCAGCTGACTCATAATTATACACATTAATTAATATGGATCTATTTCATCACATAAAATAAGAGAATGACTTAGAATAAGGATGACAATACTTACTGAAAGAAGCCAACAGGCTATATATTTATAAAGAACTATTTTTCCCCATAAGGCCGTTAATAACAACTTCTTCCAGAAAACTTCTTGCTATATGAACAAGGAAATCAAACTGTTGGTAACGGTGAGCAATTATAAAACTCGTATTCTTAAGAATTTGAAGGTGAATGAGGCAATATATTCAACATTAATATTTTATTTTATATTTTTTTAAACTATTTTTTAAGGGCAGATAAATACATCTTAATTAATTCTTAAAGTTATAGACATTAACAAACATAGCTAATATTCACAAGGCTTAGAAGCTTGTTTGAAGTTTTAGAGTAGATTTTAAATGCAAATGATAAGCTTTTTCAACTGATGTAATAAAAAAAATCTCTATTTTAATGTAAGTAAAAAATACTAAACTTAAAATAAAGAGACAAACTAAAAATATGGAGAGTTGACCACAACCTGTGGCAACAATTTGCATATCTCTGATCACCTGCCCCTGGCCATTTCTGTCGTCTATGAAAACAGTTTCAAAACTCTGACATGTTGCAATTAAATTAAATACAGTGGTTTGCAAGTGCAGATTGAGTCTCAAACAGACCTTATCTTGAGATGGTTACATTACAGGACTTTCCAATGCAGACTTCTGCTATTCTGTGATTACAAGAGCATACAAGGTCAAAGTTGAGAAGCTCCTTGAAAAGTATGTAGCTGAGTGTAAAACTAATTGATGAAAGCTTAAAATGGTATATGGTAGATGATAAATAGAAGTATGTCATTGCATTGGAAGAAGCAAATACCATAATTCACTCAGGTTAATGGACAAAAAATTCCACGACTTTTCAGGACCAAACTGTTACTTTCAAAAACCTGATTTACCAATTTTAAGAGAATATGAACTCCACCAAAATCTAGTAACTAGTCCTTTATTATATTTTATAAAAAAATGTAGTAATACCTATACAAAATGTTCTAGCAATAACACATTCAGTTGAATGGAATTGAGTAGAAAACATGTTAAGTTTCCCTCTTTTTTGTGTGCATACTTTGCAATATGCATGGTAAATATACTGCAGGTGTTCTAGCAGCCAAATAGCATAAGTATTCACAGCCAGCCTTACTGGACTGAGCTTCAACTTACTTGACATGTTTTAAATGATACTTGAGCTATTGGAAAACTTACTCAAGCAAGGGGTAAAAAAAAAAGAACTATGAAACAAGCAGTTTAAAGAGATTATAAAGGATAAGATTACTGATCAAAACACTAAATCATTTGACGTCATTTACAGAACCCTTAGTATTCTCAAATTTTCCCAACTTTCATTTAATAACAAGTGATAAAGCTTTGTGTTTTTCTCCCAAATACTGTGCTTTGGGCAGAACTAACAACTCCTCTAACATGTAACCATAATCAAAAACAAATAATATCTATTGAACATACTATTTCAACTTGCCAATAGTAAAACAACTCATATTTTACCTAACTGCCCCGAAAATACCTCATGATATGTCACCATACCAATCAAGCCAACAAAGCAAAGATTCACACTCATATTCTTACTGACACCACTTTTATACTGTTACACGTGTTAACAATGTTATATATCTCATGGTTCCCCACACAATTGTATTCCCTTATATTTAAATGTTTTCTCAGTTTACTGCTGTAATTTCAGCAAACAAATAACTTTTAAAAGAACTAACCAACCCTGTGGGTCAAAGAAGCCTGTATATTTCAATGTGGTGTTTAGCCTGTACATTTTTTTGTATGATAAAACATGGACATGTTTAACCAATATTTAAAGTAATCATTGTTCTAAATTATTTGATTTGTTTTCAAGAATGCTTTTATGTGTATCAGTTATTACAGAGTATGATGATTACAAGTAAAATCATGATCAACATTTTATATAATTTTAGATCCAAAATAAAAAAGAATTTGTAAGAAAACAGAGACAAAGTAATATTAATAACATACATCACAATACTGTAGTTAAAGCCTTAATTGTCTCTGGAATATTCAGTAACGGGGTCTAAAATGTCAGTTAAAATATCCCAGCCTAGACTGATTACTGTATACATAATAGCTGAGCTATAAATTAATGTACTGTCCTTAATGGCAAATATTTGACTATTTCATGCATGGTAGTTAGATTTATGACACTCATTCTATTATATTGTTGCTGTTTGGATTTACATTTCTCTCTCCCTTATTTTATTATGAATTATAGGCAATAACTGATGAAGAACTTAGGCTAAAAAATTATTATTTTTGTTTATGCTGAATGAGAAATTAAGAATATTCTGAAACTTCTTTGCTCTTTATCCTATCAACGGCTTTATGATTTTAGATTTCCATTAAACAAGTCTTGTACTTATTTCATGATAACAATATCATTCCAACAATAGTCATGTGACACCTGTTCACTTGCAAGTGAAAGTCCATGTTTCAAAGCCAAAACTGATCAGTGTTGTTAAGTCTATGCATTTCCCATTTTATTATTCACATTTTCTAGAGACTGTTTTTCATGAAACTTTGACAAACACAATAGTATGGCTTGTTGTCAATACAATTAGGGAATGTGGGAGTGATGGAGCTATAATGTCAAGGCCTTTTTAAGGACCTCCTGATATTGATTTTTTAGGACTCTCATAACCTGCATAAATTCTGATAACTGTAACAAATTTTGCAGGTGATGTAATATTTTAAGAATAGTAAAACATATAACAAAAATATTCTGGTAGACTTAAGGTAGTTACAGGTTAGAGCTATAAGTCAAACATTTGGAGTAAAAAAAAATACCAAGGTGAATGCTGCATACTACCATGCTAATATGCTGACATCACCATACTGCAAGGGAAGACCACCTTTGTACAGATGGGAAACCAATACGGAATGGCTCCATCAAGCCACATGTCCAAGTCAATATGCCAGTTTCTCTGCAACATGCAAGTACAAACAGGACTTCATGCTACAAAATACATTGACTTTGGTTTCACCAAACAGGATCTTAGAAGTCATCATCCATGCACAGCAGATGGACTTTGCAAAATATATAAAGAGGAGTGGGACAATATTAACCTCAGTGTATCCTAGAAAAGCCTCATGCAGCGAATTCTGTGCAGCATCTGGTCCATCACAATAGACAGTGAAAACTCCTCTGTATCAAAGTTAAAATAAACTATATTTGGGTTTTACTAGACAGGCCACTTCTGTGAATGTTCTTGTGTTAGTGTTATTTGAATTGTGACTTACGCACTTTTTTGATTCTGTATAGATTTTTGCTACTTTGAAATAAGTTCTTAAACTTATTTTTCTTAAAACATAGAACAGTAACTAAAGAAGTAAAGCAAACAATTATCTTTTCTAGTTACGACCTTTGTACTCGATTGCTGCTTGACGTAGGTTGCTAAGCCTTTAAAAAATTTGCACATGGAGGATATGAAACAAAATAATTTTTTTACGTTTTAATATATACATTTGAATAACTAAAAAATAATAAATTACTACATCCTTACCATAGAATTCCACTATAATTTATCAAGCTTAGTAACTAAGATGTATTTTAGTCTAAAAAAATGTGAAATTTCAAGCAGACTAAAAACACACCCTGCCTCGTTGAAATATTGGTTCAAAACAAAGAAATGGCACCAAACCTGTTAAAATGGCTGAGAAAGCCACTAGGGAACATTCCAAGCTTCTGATTGGTTATTCATGTCATATAAATAAGTGTATATAAAGGAGCATTTCCAAAAATGGAAAGAGGTATGTGGGGTGCCACTGATTTATTACATGAGCAGTATCTTAGCAAATTGAAAATATAAGAGGCTCTTATGTTATATTCTAGCTTGTCAATATTGGTAATTTGAGTTTCTAATTCGTACAATACTACAGATTTAGTATTTTGACTTCACAAACATCTAATTTGAACCAGTGCTGCAATTAACATACTATGTGACACACAAACATCGATGTTTATCTGTGTTTTTTAATATTTATTTTTAAATTAACAAATCAAGTAATGTATAGTACTAAAATTTGAATTATAATCTACAAATTGATACCAAAGTTATTGGCATAAATTCTTGAAATAGTAGTTCAATAAAATTTTGAATGCAGATCAACAAACGAGATGACCTGTTACCCATCTTGAAAGGGTTAAAAGAAATTCACTAGAATAGTCTTCTTTGTGTCATATGCATAATTTCACATCTTTATCTTTTTCATTTATAGTCTATTTTTCATTTTACTCTCAAATTCTGTTATCATTTATGCTGATATGTAACCTAATGGCTGAGGGGCTTTATGAAGTTATTTTGACAGACTCCTCGCAGAGACATGTTGCATAAAGAAGATTGAGCTTATACATGCCATCTTGTTTATTACCTTTCACAATCACCATACTGCAAGGGAAGACCACCTTTTTACAGATGGGAAACCAACACGGAATGGCTCCATATGATTTTTAAAACACACATAATACATAATTAACTAAAATATAAAAGTAAAACCTAAATACAATATAACTGTCTCTCTAACTATAGCATATTTAGGTAAGAAACCACCATAAGTGCTATTGTCAATCAAACAGACAACAACATTAATGGCAGTTACATATACACTATGAGGAAAACTGCGCACCAATTTCCAATTAACAACTTGTGGAGTAGAGTGTAAACTGAGCTCTTTCTAACGATTATATACACTTGTGTCAACTAACTACATGTACATTGTAAATCTCAAGGCAAAGTATAGAAGGTGAGCATGGTAACCATCAAGGGTTGGAAAATTGAAATATGTTTCCCAGAGAACCAGCTGCAGACTTTGGATATCACATGTCAAATAGTTCAAACACATGTACATTAGTGTCTAGATACTCATGTACATTGGCAACTAACTACATGTACATTGTAGATCTCAAGGCAAAGTATAGAAGGTGAGCATGGTAACCATCAAGGGTTGGAAAATTGAAATATGTTTCCCAGAGAACCAGCTGCAGACTTTGGATATCACATGTCAAATAGTTCAAACACATGTACATTAGTGTCTAGATACTCATGTACATTGGCAGTTTATGTGGCCAAAAGTGAATCACTGCTAAGGTGAGATTTTTTCATAGTGCATGGGTCACATGACACAAAAACTGCAGTTTAAGTATTTTTTTAAAATGTTTCCTTTGAAACAAAGGAATTAAAACTTAAATAACATAAACATTCAAATTATAACATACATTATAAAGTTAATTTCATGGACATATATTGATAGTAAAGTGGATTATTAATTTTTGAATGTAACACAATACCATATGCAGAAAGAAATTTTAAAATGGTGCTGGTAGCTACAGGGTTAAAAAATCTGATTTTTTGTGTACAAAAGACTTATAATGTTTACTGAAAGTCTGCCAAATATTATAAAGATACACATACTGTATTAAAAGTTATTGTATGGAAACTATAACAAGTACAAAATGGTTAGGAACTGGGTCAATATGACCGACCCTGTGAGAGAGTTAAATGTTTCTATACATAAATGGGTCTGAAATATACTTTGGAAATTATAACGTGAATTGTGGTGGTATAGTGTGGGCATGTTTCATTTGGTTTTGAGCATGGTCAATTTGAGAAAGTTAAGGTAGCCATAAATGTCTTTTTGTTATATGACAAACTTAGAAATGTTCTATTATCTGTAGTGATAAGAGTTCTAAGCAGAAGAACAACATCTCCTTCAACACAGTTGTGCAGTATGCTATAACACAAACTGTGTTTAGCATAAGTTTTATATACATAAAATCCAGAATTTGTCCTGGCCAGACCAGAGCCCAAATCTGAATCCAACTGGACAATTAAAGAAGATTTTGGAATGGTTCCTGAGAAGCCAATAGAACATACCTTCAACTCTCAGTAAACTTGGAAGTGTTCTACAAAAATAAATGGTGATTTAGTTCAATAGATGTGTGCCAACAACTGGTGGCAAGTAAAACAGAATTTAGGCTCTGATTAATGTTGAGTACGGTCACATTGGCAAAAACAAGACATCTTTCTTTCTGGAGGACTTTTGAATGCAAATTACTTTCAGTGCTAATGACAGCATTATAGAAATTTAACAAGAACTGTTGAGCTGATGGAGATTTTACAAGTTTTAGGGTATGCAAAGGTGAAGTCACTAATAATGCAATAATGTTCCGAATGTCAAAGACTTCTTTAATAAGGAAAACAAAAAAGTGACAAAAATAGTAGTAGTACATAAGTGTTAATATTTTTTTTATTTTGTTCTGATGCATGTGCTATGTTTTATAATATTCCATTTAATTCATACATACATGTATAAATGTAATGTATAAGTAAACATTATCAAAGTAATATAAGTGCACCTACCTCAAATGAAATACTAAGTATATATCGTTCAGGAATGAAAAGTGTTCCTATCTGAAAGATTCCAAGTATAACTAGTCCAAGAGCCAGGCGAGATAAAGCAGGTAAAATACTGCAAGAATTACACAAACAAAAATATTTAGAGCGACATTATTATAGACTTCATAAAATACAGAGAAATGGGAGGTGTTATCTAACTTTATTTAAAAACAGTAAATCTTAAAAGTAGTCTGTTTTTAATAAGCTGAAACCCTAGAGTTACCAAAACAAATTTTATATATCACACAAGCATTAATAATTTACAATTTTCAATACACTTGATATTGGTCAGGGAAAATGAAAGTACCGAGGAAAAAAAAGTTAATCCATTTTTTGTACATACAGAAAATATTGGGAATTAACACCAAATACTAAGAATGTTTGCTGAAAGAAACCACAGTAAATCTGGTGTATGATAACCATCAGCAGTTGTATCAAATTAATAAATACACAATATGAAGGAAGTCTAAATGGAACTTTTAACTGGACGAATTTTACTACATATTTCTGCAAAGTCACTAACACAATACATGTACAAACAGTTTTCTTATCTGCTTTACCAATCCAGGTTATCAGTAAAACTCAAAAGAATAATTATCAAGCCAATATAATAAATAATGTTTTGTTATAATTTTACTTAACATTATCCAATAAACAATGTAGCAATAAATCAAATCTAAAATGCTTATTTTTTGCTAGCTATTTATACCATACATTTTCTATTCATTTAACAGCTAACTATGTCTGAATTTTACCACCACAAATCAAGTGCACAGAAAAGACAAAAAGGCAAGAGACGACTTAGTCAAAGTGTGTCAGAACATCATAAATTTGTTTCAGTTTGAAAATGTCAGTAAATCTATAAATGAAAGTTTACCATCTACTTCTAGTGCTTTGAATATCAAAGATAAAACAAAAGTTAACGAGATGTTATTAGTTGCAGAACTCTCAGAATTATATTGCCGTCACGAATATTTGGACTACTTTGTTTGCGCTACTTTTCTCCACTATTTTTTGAGCATGTGCAAGAGATCAAATCAGTTACTGTGTCCTGTAAAAATGACCATTACAGCAAGTTTTGTTGTGCGTACAAGAATTAAAATTCATTGTGACATCGACCCAAGTTGGGAGTAATAATTGGAAGCAGAGCATGGCTCAAAGTAACAGTTACAAGAATCCACAGGGCTTCAGAACCAGATACAGTCTATAGGACCTGGAAAAACAAAATAGAAGTATGGAGGCTCATGATGGATCTCAACAATAGGAAACAGGCTTTGGTGGTTACTTTATCACTAATCAGCCAGGCAGAAGCAAAGGCACTTGAAATTAATGTAAGTGATTTGAATTTGGAAGATGGAATGGATGTTTTGATTGAGGCTCTGGACTCGCTGTATATAAAAGAAGCTGTAGATTTAGCCTATGAGGCATACTCAAAATCTGATTCGTACATTAAACCCGAAGACATGCAGATGTCAGAATTTATCGCTGAATATGAAAGTCTGTACACGAGATGCAAAAAATATAAAATGGAACTTCCAGATGCTGTTTTGTCATTCAAACTTTTGGAAAGTGCAAATTTGACACAAAGACACAGGAAACTCCTGCTGATAGCAACATCAGACTTAAAATAGTCTTCAATGAAGTCTGCATCAAAGAGAATCTTTTCTGATGGTCACGTGACAAGTTAAACTGTTTTGAGCATCAAGACAGAAAGCACAACAATAAAACAAGAAGCAGCTTATGTAACAGAGAAGTTCATTCTAGATTCTGACAAAAAATATAAGTTTCAGCAAAGCCATCAACCTCCAAAAAACAGAAAAATTAACAGTAAACCTAAGGGAACCAACCCATTAGATAAATATGGTAGAAGAACAAAGTGTATGATCTGTAAATCAATGTTTCATTGGGCCAAGAATTATCTACATAAAACTGAACAGGCTGTCTGGGTAGCTGAAGATCACAATGAAAGTGAGGTTTGTAATATAGCTTCATTAGTGAAAGAAGAGACATAATGAAATACTTATGATAGAGGCACTTGGCTGTGCTGTAATTGATACTGCATGTATAGAATAGTATATGGACAAAAGTGGCTACAAATTAGATTGATGGCTTAGAAAGCAAACAGAGGGTTACTGTTGTTAACACAGTCAGTAACAAATCTTTCAAGTTTAGAGATGGTGCAAAAGATGATGTCATATAAAAATGTCACTTTACCTGCCAAAATAGGAGTAACAACATGTAAGATCAACACAGAAGTAGTGAATGCAAACATACCTGGTAAAACTACACATTTGCACTGATATGGCTGAAATGTTCAGCAACCCTGTGAACTTGGATATTCATGTCAATTGGACATTATTGCATAAATATTCAGTCATTTGATAAAAAGAACAAATATGAAGATGAAAAGCAACAGGCTGAAATACTGATTGCTAGTGACAACAAGTTTGATAATAATGAAACAAAAGTACCAGAATAAGAAATTTTGGTTATCAATGACAAGACACAAAAAGCTGCTAAGAAGAAAATATTAATCAAATTTCATTATCAGCTTGGACATGCATCAGCAAAATGTCTAAGAAAACTACAAGAGAATAGTGGCATAAAGAATGTGGAAATTTTCAAGAACCTGATAAATATTGTGAACAACTGTGAAGTGTGTTACAAATATTATAAGTAGCCTCCTAAACCAGCAATAGGGTTTCCTTAGCTAAAGACTTTAAAGAAACTGTAGCAGTAGACTTGCATGAATTGGAAAGGAGCTTATAGTATTGACATATAATTGACAAGTTTACAAGATTTAGCACTAGTACCATAATCACAAGTAAATTATATTCTATTTTCATACAGAAACTCATATAACACTCGACTGGTATTCATGGTGCTCCTAAAAGGCTATATAGTGGAGGCAAGTTTATTGTGAAGAAGTCAGGGATATGTGTGAAAACTTCAACATCGAATTCAAAACCATAGCTGCATACAGTCCTTGGAGCAATGCTTTGCTCGAGCATCAGACTTTCCGAGAAATCATAAGGAAAATTAAATAAGAAAAAAGACTATGATTGGGAAACAACATTATGTTGGGCCATAGCAGCTAAGAATAGTCTGTGCAACATTCATGGATACAGTGCCTACCAGTTACTCTATGGTAGAAATCCTAATCTGCTTTCCATACTTGTTGATAAACCTCCTGCATTAGAAGGCACAACAACAAGCCAAGTTTTAGCCAAAAATATTGATTCGCTGTATATAACTAGACATGCATTCATAGAGGTGGAATGTTCTGAAACAGTGAGAAGGGCCATAAGAAAACAGACCTGTCCAACAACAGAGATATATGCTGCAGGTGACAAAGTTTACTATAAACATTCAGGTAGTCCAGAGTGGAAAGGGCCAGCTACAGTTATTGAACAGGATGGTCCAGTGATATTTGGTCGAGATGGCGGGATTGTAGCTAAGAGTCGATCAGTGTCAACTGAAGAGATCAATCCAAACAAATAACAGTTCAAATGAAAACAAGTCAACCTCAGTTGAACAAAGAGTTATCAAAACAGAACAAAGGAAGAAATCAGAAAATATTGTAGAAGAGTCAACAGGTGATGAAGCTGACATAGAGTTCAAATTAAACAGCTCTGTACATACAAGTCAAACAGCACCCAACAGAAATATGAATGAACTAAAGATAATTAGTACTGGAAATATTGTGCAGTATAAGCACCAACAAAATGGTCAGCAACTGACTGCTAGGGTCTTTAGTCATGCAGGCAGGACTACAGGAAAATTACAAAACTAGTACAATTTAGAATATACTGGACCCAAGCAATTAGGAGGAGTGAAACAGTTGGTTGATTTAGGCCAAATTGGTGACTTTCAAGTCTCAGAAGTTCCTGATGACACTCACACAAAATGAGGAAAAGAATGTCATGATATTTGAAGATATGTCATTTGAGGGTGTCAAACTAAGAGGTTTACAATGAAATACCAGATGACGGACAGAAATGAATCTCCACAAGATGGGTCTGTACCTTGAAGAATTCAGGTGGTAATGTAACCATTAAACCCAACCCAGAGGTATTACCACTCATCTGCATTACGGACTGCAAGTAACTTACAGATGCCATAAAATTCAACAAGTTTGTCAATGAAAAAGGTTTGAGAATTTAGATGAGTGGAATTAAATAACTTGTTGAAAGTCATTAGATCAGAGAAGTTATTTGGTCTGACACGGGAAATCAACTGTAGCTGATTGTCTGATGAAAAATGGGGCTTCATCTCTTATGTCAATGAAGACATTTGAAGATGGTATATTGAATTTTAGAAATTTTATGAACTATAGAACATGTTATTTTAGTGTTGATGTTATTTGTTCCTTTTTAATGTTGGAAATTCTTCTGTTGTGTTGAACTATAGAACCACATTATTTTAGTGTTGATGTTATTTGTCCCTTTTTAATGTTGGACATTCTTCTGTTGTGTTGAACTATAGAACCATATTCTTTTAGTGTTGATGTTATTTGTTTCTTTTTAATGCTTTATGTGAAATAGACCAACGAAATCAGATTATAAAGGCTCAGAATTCTACCACAGATATTGAAGTTAGAAATTTGAAGGACCTCCAGGTTGATTTAGAGACTTTGAGAAATTAGTGGCCTTCAATTTATGAAGAAGCAAAGATGGTTGCCACTGCAATGGTCGCTGACCTACTCCTGTCAGAAGCTCCTCACAGGAAAAGAAAGGAATTTTTTGATAAATATGAGTCAGACACTGAAGCTGCAGTTTCATATGCAACAGCATAAACTAAGTTCACGGAGGAAGTATTTTACAAGTTTCTTGATAATGTATGTGCAGGCACAAATCAGCAGTATGAAACAACATTTCAGATTAAAAAAGGTTTGGATTTCTTTGATTTTACCTTGATGAAACTAATGAGGTCGTAAGCAATGGTTGCATGAATTTATAAGAGAGTACCGAAATGACATTTCAGGAGAAAAGTTATCAGATGAAATTTTGCATCTAAAGACAATCCACAGAGCTAATCTCAATGATGTGATCATGTGTCACTATTTCTACTCTGTCTTCTTAACAGATATCACAAAGCTGAAGTAGGAGGATTTATTTCCTAACATATGCATTGCTATGCCAGTGACTGTTGCTTTAGCTGAGAGTTTTTTTAGTAAGATGGAGTTGATTAAGAATCACCTGAGAAGTACAATGAGACAGGAAAGATTGGCTGAGTTAACAATTTAACACTGAAAGTGAGTTGGCAAGAAATGTTAATTTTGATTATTTTCTTTTAGATACGTTTGATTAATTTTTATTTCAGTGCAAAGGTTTTATAGTGATATCATCCCTTACTCTCAAATTATGAAAACTAAATATTGTGATGTAAATAGAATAAGTTTAATTTCTATATACTCTATGAATTATCATTTCTATTAGTATCTTAGATATCTTTTTAAATAAATAGATTAATATAATATATTCAATTGATGAATAAGAACCTAAGCCACACTGGCATGACAGCAACAGTGAGTAGTGGATGAGTAAAAAGTGCAAACATTTTGAAATACTTTAAGGCTATGACAGAGCATGGACAACTTATCACTTTGATGGCCCAGTGATTGAATTCATTCAATTTCTTCCCAACTTCAGGCTGCCAAACAAATAAAGACATGCAGTCCATTTGATTTATCAGATGTCACGATAATTCAAAAATCAGCTTAATTAATAATCTTTTAATAATTTTCTTGGGGATTTCACGAAATCCATAGGAAATGATAAGAATAACATTAAGAAACAAACAAACAGTCTTTTGAAATTTTCCACACGCACTATATTTCAATAGCTTGAATTATTCATTGAGAATTTTTTGCAACTTCCTTGAATATACCTTTGTCATATTAACTATTTCCTCACTCACAACCATATTAATTTGAGGAAAAGACATCTTGAGCTCAGATGTTTTGACTCTATTGTTAAAGGCCTTAGCAGTATAGAATAAATTAAGCAGAATTCAAACAGCTTTCAAAGTGTTAAAACTAAGACAACTGACTGGACTATCTTGACAGAAAGAAACTATCGGGAAATGAGGGGGGTAAATGTAGGGGATAATTAAGAGGCCCAGAAAGAAAAGTAGCACCAGGGTCCTAGATGTCATTTTCAGGAGAAACAATATATTCTTTCCTAAAGGTTTGAGTGTGATTTGATTATTAAATTAAATATTTACAAAAAGTTAAGTCATTGTGTTTATTATGAAATATTACATCTTTTGTATATACAAACTAAATTTATAAATATGAAAGGTTTACCAAGCTGGCTTCTTTCGACCTTCTTTGTCTGCAAACACGCCACCAACAAAATCCATATACCTCCTCATTGAAAACTGAAACAAAATGTAGTTTTTATTTACATACATTATAAAATCCTATTCACTAAATATAAAAGATAAACTTTCTTAGTACATGCAATCAGTACAATTTAAATAATATTTTGAAGAAATTCCCTAATTACTTTATGCAATGATGTTTAAAACTAAGAATAACACAACCAGTAAAGGTTCTTGTATGCCAGTCACATGTAGTAAACCAGTTACATTATTTTTTTTTGTGATGATCTTCAAACCTAAATACAACCATTAATAAGGGTTCCCTTCAACCAGGTTCACAAGAACTGGAACTCTATAAAAAAGGTTTACATTGTAAACATGTTCTTAATATTCAAACCTATTTTCCCTTTATATCTTATACATTTGTATTATTTCATCTCACTCTTACCTCCATCTGCCAAAGTTATGTTACCATCATGATCTCTTACTTTGGTTTTCTCCTTTCTTTTCCTAAAATAATAGGCTAAGTCTTTCCAAAAGCCACAATAATTTCGTATATATTTCATTTCTTCTTGTTATTTTAGTGTTCCAATCTCTTTTATTTCCAGGGATTCAAAAACAAAATTCAATATTTCATTGTATGGTTTATTCAATTCATTTGTTTTAGACAAACTGATTCTATTGATTTCTTTGTGTGTAAGTTGCTTCCATTAACAGTAACTTTCTTTTTTTTAATCATTTCCAGCTTTCATAAGCAGTTTCTATTTATTTTCAGTTTTTGTAAATTTTGATTACTACTTTACTGTTGAGTTAAGTAGCAAAATCATCTGAATTAAAACAAATTAGAGAAAAAACTGCAACTGCTAATATAAATTGGAGGTAGTTTAATACAAGCATTTATACTTTAAAATGAAATCTAAATAAACATTTACCTTTACCATGACCTTTTAATTAATCTCATGGCTGATTGCTAAGTTATAGATCTCCTAGTTGTTTTCTTTGATCTTTCAGTTCCACCCCTAATGTATTAGTCAATACTGCATGCCCTAAAATGTTTTCAACCATTTGTATTACATGTATCTGTGTCAGCAGTTCTCGAAATCATTTCAGTGTAGGTAGAAGGACTGGAATGATATGTTTCAGTATCTATTTGAATTTAATAAAAAAAAAGATACAAATATGAGAATATTCTGGAGAAAGTAGAAATGTGCCTGTTGCTTTGCAAAACTATCACATCAACAGAGTAAAATAGTCTAAGGGTATACCCCAAGTAAAGCGATACAGGTAGTCGAATAAGGTTATCAACTCAGACTTAGGAAACGCATAAGGCTGAAATTTACTGGGCTAAGGTTATCCTGATAAAGGTCACAAGGTGTGTGATTAATCATATGATTTAATCATAAGAACAAATGTTTGCAGATTATGAAATATCAACAATCAAACAGGGAGAAAATGAAGAGATCAACAAAAACTATAAGGTTTAAATTTTGGTAATTAACCAAATTAAACTTTTGTTAGACAGGTAAATTCTCGTGTTTTAAATTGAATTTTATCAGTACTCACCTGTGGACCAACTAAAAAGCCTCCAAAAAAGTATGTGTGGCCTCCTATCTCAAGAAGAGAAGGAGCTTTGACTAGTGCTGTTTTCTTTTGATCATGCGATAGTTTGTTCTATGTGAAAGAATAATAAAAGTTAAATGGTTGAAAATATAACAAATATTTATTACATATTACCTAATATATGCAGCACAAACGAGCTTGCTTCTGGAATTTAATCTGTCAAGTTATGGATTTATCAGACAAATTTACTAATATTTTTGAAAAACGCATTTTTTAATTTATATCATAAATAAATGAATGGTTGAAGGGTTACAAGTTTTCAAGAAATAAAAAAGAGGTGCATTATGTTACATCATACTAGTAGTCAAAAGATAAAAGACTGTTAATAATACACTCTACAAAACTGAGAGTGTTCCTATTAATTCTGTGCTGTTTTTGCTGCTCTAACATAAACAATTTTTATGGTTAACAAGTAACTCAGCATTTTTATGACTGATGCATGTTTACAAAAAACTGAAATATTATGACATAACAAAGAAATAAATTGTTTGTTTGTAGTTAAGCACAAAGCTACACAAATGCTATCTGTGCTCTACCCACCATGGGTATCGAAACCCAGTTTCTAGCATTGTAAGTCCACAGACATACCGCTGTGCCACTGGAGGGCAAGAAATAAATTAAACTGCTTCTTTTCTTAAAGGCTTTACTTGGATTTCAACAAATTCTTTTTAAATACAGTATTTACAGCTTACTCAAAAAATAAAGAAAATAGTCAATATATATTAATTATTAAAAAAACATTCTTTTAAGCATTAAATAAATACTTCACATTCAAAACTTCACATATCTGTTTCAAGATATTACCAGAATCTCATAAAAATTGAGTATGTTATATTAAATAATCTTGGAAGCTTATCACAACATTACAGTCCAAGTCACCATGTCCACTCATATTCTATGTGACAGCCTCGCATCTTGACAATAACCCTACAGTGTAGTTTCTATTGCAAAAGGTCTGTCACTAAGCTTTCATGTTCAAAGCTTACTATTCCTCACTCTTTCCATAAACCATCTAGTGTACAAAGATAACAGTTTTGTAGTTCCCCTATTTTCAACAGTTCAATCACAGAAATCCATAGGTGCTGCATCTGGCAACTTGACAAGTATGTTTTTGCATGGAATAGTATGAATAGTCATTTCATTTTTGAACTAACTGAGGTATGAAACAGTAGAATGGGAAGTATGACAGAAAGCCTTGTTAAGATATTGCACTTTGCTTACCATATTTTGGGTATGACTTTATCGTAAGTACAGGCTTCCCAGCACTTTTTTGGTGCCAAAAATATAAGAATATAGGATTTTGTTTCTATGAAATTTGGGTGTTCTTGTAGGAAAATGGCTTAAAATATAGGATGTTTCGGCAGGTCAAATACTGAAATTTGGAAAGTTAGATAAATAGTCTGTGGTTATGTGTGCATATTTTAGGCATATATATGTACAAATAACAAAAGCAACAGTATGTTTAACATCAATGAAACCAAATGCCCTCACCAACTCTTACAGACATCACATCCCAGCCTTTTCTTACAAAATCAGATGGATCTAAATAATGTTACAGTATAAAAACATTTGTACATTTCCACTTTGATGAATCATAAATTTTCAACTTTTTTCTCCAAGTTCAATAGTAGATGCACTTGGTTTAACAGTAAACATAAGTTTTGTCTGCTTACTATTAATTTTGTTTTTATGGCCTTTAGTGTTTGTGTGCTGAAGTAAGGAGGCCTTTATAGTATTATCCACACCCAACTGGCAGCAGCAGAGGCTAAAATATGTTGTATACTGGTCTTTGCCAGGCTTGCTCTAATCTCAGATTTTATTTCTATTAGCATCCAATGCGTCCAACCACTGGATTTTGAAAGTAGTCTTCCCACCTGACATTTTTGTCTGCTAATCTACTACAATGTATTAAGTAAATGGAGTTCACTATACTATCTGAAAATGAAAGGTAAGGTTAATATTTGCATATCCCATACAGAATATTCCTTCAGTATGTATGTTCCATAAAGAAGAAATTTCTATAGCCACATCAGTATATTTGATTTGATAAATATATCCCTGAAACAGTTCACGAGTTCAATAAATTTACTCATCAATGTAGAAAACTAGTTTGTTAAGTACATGTAGTGGCTGTAGAAATAACTTCTAATTTGTGAATAATGTAATGGCTACTGCATGCTTCTATGGTATCCACATCTTGCTATAACTAATATATGAAACAATTTGATATAAAATATTCTAATGTACCAGCATATTCTGTTTCTGAGAGACTTATAATTAACCCTTTTGAGATGGGTCACAGGTGAAAGGGATGTCATATCATTTGTTAACTTGCATTCAAAATTTTATTGAACTACTATTTCATGAATTTATGTCAGTAAGTTTGGTATCAAACTGTAGATTATAATTCAGATTTTAGTACTATACATTACGTGATTTGTTAATTTAAAAATAAATATTAAAAAACACATAAACATCGATGTTTGTGTGTCACATGG